CCTGCACAACCTTCTGCTTTTCATTTTCAGTATAATAATCAATAAATTACGTGAGATAAATATTTTATTATAAAATAGGCTTTGTGTTAGGTTATTTTGTCCAGCTGTTGGCTGTTGTCAGTGTTCTGTGGATGTTTAAGGTAGGCTATGCTAAGCTGTGCTGTTTGATAGGTCAGATGTATCAAATTCATTTCAATGTAAGATATTTTTAATTTATAATGGGCTCATCAGGATTATTGAGGTACCTGGTTCCCCAAATCCAGTTGACCTGATTGAATTACTTGGCTGAGCTAGAAAGTTCAACTGAGGCACAGCAGTAACGGAAAGTAAAAGTGAGTGGAAACTGGAAAGAACTGGATCAACACTGGCAGTGTGGATAGAAAGTAAAAGTAACTTCCACAAGTTTCAGGGTGACAGAGATTTTATTTAGGAAGAATAAAAAGAAAGTTTAGAGCACTTCCAAAGAGAGGTGGAAGGGGGTCCTTCTCTAGGAACAGGAGAGGTGAGAGAGACAGATGCAAAGTCTGCAGACAGTTAAATACTCTGTAGGTCTGAAACTGGCTTCTCTGCGCCTCTAGGCAGCATTTAACGCCTTTTTCTATTAGTCATAGGTCATCTTGGTTATTCATATTCGTATTCTGGTGGGGCCACCAGACGTGCTGGTTCACCAGGCCAGCTTTTTCTCTCACCTCCTTAAAGGCCCTTTCTTAGTGTCTCTTCTCAAGCAGGTAGTCCCATTATAAGTTGAAGAACATTCGTATTGGACAAGTACTTGATTACTTATCCAGATGTGGCTGCACTCATTTGGGTATTGTTAATATATAGATTAAACAAAACATGATCTCTCTTTATGGCTTTTTGTGCTATCGTGTAAATTTCAGAAATAGCTTGTTCAATTTCCAAGGAGAAGGAAGAGAAAACGGCAGGGAGTTTGATTGGAGTGGCATCTATGTGCATGCGTTTTTGGATTTTCTTAGTGCTTAGTAATCAACTGCATATTAATGGTTTTCTTTCTAATCTTCTTGCCTCCCCATGTGCTTTTCTCCTCTCTCCCTTTAGTTGAGTGCAATGGCTAGGACCCTAGCCATTGGGTCAAACATATGCTACCCATATCCAACATATGCTAATGTACATTGTTAACAGAGGTTATGGTGGAGGGCAGCTGCCTCTGTGTTATAACCCGTAAGGTCCATCACCATCTGGCTTTAATTACTATCTGACCTCATCTCCAGTGCCTTTCTCCGTGGCTTCCCCTGCTCTGGCCTACTGGACTCCTTCCTGCCCTCTGAACACATCAGGTGCATTCCCACCTTAGAGTCTTTGCATTTGTGAGTCATTGGGCTGGAACTACTTTTCCCCAGTGCCTGCCTGGCTCACTCCCTTCCTGTCTTCACTGAAATACCACCTTTTCAGTGAGAACTTCCCTAACTGCCTTATCTTTTTTTTTAAAGCTACGTTATTACAGTATGATTTATATATCATATAATCTGCCTCTTTTTTCCTGAAGACAGGATCTCACTCTGTTGCCTGGGCTAGAGTGCAGTGGTACAATCATAGCTCATTGCATTCTCAAGCTCCACGGCTCCATCGGTCCTCTCTAGCGTCCATAATAGCTGGGAATACAGGAGTGCCTGGGCCACCACACCCAGTTTAATTTGCCTATTTCAAATGTTTGTTCAGTTTGTTACTCATGAGTTTTAAAACTGTTTCATCACCCTAATAGTATCTCTGTGCGTGTTTACTATTAATTCTTATTTCTACCACCTACCCTAGGCAACCACTAATCTATCTCCATAAATTTGCCTGTTTTGGACAGTTTACATTATTGGAATCATATAGTATATGGTCTTACTGTGTCTTGCTTCTGTTACAAAGCAGGAGGGTCCATCCATGCTCTATTATGAGTCACACTGCATTACTATTTATGGCTGAATAACTTTCCATTGTATGGATATATATAATATGTTTATCCAACAGTTGATAATATTAAGTAATTTCCAGTTTGGGAAGCTAACTATGACTAATCCTAGCCACCCTTTCTTAAAGAGTAACTCTGCTCTCCAACAGTACACTTTCTGTCCTTTTCCTTATTTCCTCCTCCTCATTGTCCCACCTACTATCTGCTTTACTCATGTATTTTGTTTATAGTTTATCTACACTTGAATCTGGGTTCCACCGAGCAGAATTTTTTGTCCCATACTAATCACCATTATTAACGTTAGGCCCTGGAACTATGTCTGGCATATAGTAAGCAATCAATAAGCAGCTGGCCCAAGTGAGTGGATTAATTGGGTATTAACTGTGCTGTGTACTAAGGAATGTTTTCTGATTTAAGAGTTTGATAGAAATCGGCCTTGGTGAACATTTTATGAGGAGGGCACCCCGGGCAATTAAAGCAACATTAAAAATACACTACTGAGACCTGATCAAACTAAAGAGCTTCTGCACAGCCGAGAACACAGTAAGGCAAGCAGACAGCCATCAGAATGGAGAAGATTTTAGCAAGTTATGTCTCCGACAAAGGTTTAATAACCAGAATCCATAGAGAACTTAAATGTATTAGCAAGAAGAAAACGAGTGATCCCATCTCAAGGTGGGCAAGGGACTTGGAGAGAAATTTCTCTAAAGAAGATTGGCACATGGCCTACAGATATATGAAAAAATGCTCACCATCCTTAATCATCAGAGAAATACAAATCAAAACTACTTTGAGATATCATCTAACTCCAGTGAGATTAGGCTATATTACAAAATCCCAAAACCAGAGATGCTGGTGTGGATGTGGAGAAAAGGGAACACTCCTGCACTGCTGGTGGGAATGTAAACTAATACATTCCTTTTGGAAAGACATCTGGAGAACACTTAGAGAACTAAAAATAGACCTGCCATTTGACCCTGCAATTTCTTTATTAGGTATGTTCTCAGACGACCAAAAATTGCATTACAACAAAGATATTTGTATCAGAATGTTTATTGCAGCCCAATTCATAATTGCCAGGTCATGGAAGAAGCCCAAGTGCCCATCGATCCACGAAT